CCCCCCCCCCCTTGTATCTGAGGTTTATTTTAAAAAAGAAAAGGAATGCTAAATGTCAATAGTAATTTTAGAGTGTCAGGCTTAGGAACAGACTGGCTGAGAGAACTGCAAACTTCCTCAGCAGTATTCCACTTGGAACTTTAGTGAAGGACCCTTGGTTCATTTCCTACATATGATGGTCCCATAAATGGGGTGTTTTTTTAGGGAGATTTCCACTCTGGAAGCTTCTTAAAGAAATGCAGCTGGTGTCAGGGAGATAGAGATGTAGTTACAGCTCCGCGCAAGCGCCAGCCAGTTTGTTTAGCCGTGTCACTGGAAGGGAGGCAGTGCCAAAGGAAAMCTGAAATCTGAGCTCATCTGGGAACTGGATATAAAAGGAAACACTCCTTTCCCGGTTCCCACCTCCCACGGACTTCCAGCSTCCCTACTATTCACATGCCCCTTCCCTTCAGCTGATACTCTCTGCTGACAGCTACAGCAGTAGATCTCAATGCTAAAAATCATCAGTATAGCATTTCAAGAGAAAAACCCCAAACGAAAAGAAAACACCAAGCAAATAGAAAACATCCCAAAACCTCGGGAAAGGGAGGGGCTTAGGGAGGAAGYTTTTCTGCATAACTTTATTCAGAGSTCCAAGCTCTTTRTCTTATCTCCTTTTACARGAGCAGCGTCCTAAAGTTTCTTTTAAAAACAAAGYTTTATTTTCTCCTGTAAAGTCTACCTTCATTTTTGTACAAATACAATACCACTCTTTCCTTCTTCAGTGCATAYATTTTGCATATGCTTTCCCAAACAGCATTAAGTCTATTAAATGACAGATAATTTAGATGTAAATGTTATAACTGTGCTAAAAGCTCACAGGCAAGCCAGCCTGCACTGACAGGAATTCTTTACATCTTGAGCAGCTTTCAAGAATAAAGTAGTCAATACAGAATAAAGCTAAGGTTTACTCCTGCTAGGAGTTTGTCACGTTCAAGCTCTTTCCTGGCATCTCCAAGGCTAATTCCCCACCCTGATCCCAGCAGCAACAGAAGGATGTTAAGAGTCACYTACCGCTGTAGATCCCGAAGATGTGGCAACAAAGACTTTGATCACCATGCTGACAGTGATGGACGTGAATCAGCAGAGCAGCCCTGCTATCCACAAGGCACCGCAATCCCAGGAGGAATCCAAATGCTCAGCAGCTCCTGGGCTGACCCGGGTCCTAAATGGATGCCCCCTCCCCCCCAGCAACCCGGCAGCTTTGCCCTCTCCCTCTCCCCAGTGTCCCGCGTTTTCCCACTCCATTGGCTCTTGGGTATTTTGGGACGAGGATTGGTCCGTAAGAGGAGCCATCGCGAGGGGTTTGCACCTGCCCCTGGCCTTATTGCATTAGATTGACAGGGTGGCAGCCCAAAAAAGGCAAGGGAGAGTAATGCACCAATGAGACAGAGCTGGAGAAATATTTGGGAGAGGGGGAAGGGACGGCTGAGAAGGGAGAAGGGACGGGGAGCTGGCAGCTTCGTGCTGGGGGCAATCCCAAAGCTGTCGGGTTGCATGGGCGCTGTCACAGCTACGTCCTGCAGGAAGGAGCATTCCCTGATCACAACAAGGCTTTGGAGCTGCAGCTGGAAATTTCAGATTATAAATGAGGAAGGGGAGGGCAAGGGGAGCCTAGATTTAGCTGTAATTATGGCAGAGATCATACTGAAATAAGCCATGGTTGCGAACGCTCTCAGCTTTAAAGAATTCAGATCATCATCTGCAGTGTTCAGGGAMTTCCCTGACATAAATGTGTGTCAGGACACTGCCAGGCTCTGAGGAGGGTGCTTTGGCTCATTCCATTCACCCAGGACCTATTGTTGCATTTTCTCGTCCTTTTTGCATCACCAGTGAAAATTTCCTGGGCACAAGATGTAAGAACAGGTCCAGAATACTTTGGGGAAAAAAAATCCCATTCTCCTGTTCATCCAGGATGGCCTTTTTTCCCCATCTGATTGTCACCTTCTACCCCAGAGAATGCCACAATTCAGTGTCTGCCTGTACACGCTTGCTTAAGGAGGTCTCTGGGCATGAGAGGTATTTGAAGAATGTTAAATGGTCAGAGATTATTTTCAAATTTTAAGGGCCAAGTTTGTTTCTGCTGTGAGCAGCATGAGCTCAGTAAAGCTGACTCTRTGCCAGAGGTGAAAATGGACTAGGTTTTAGAAACACACATTTCACATGGTAGGACTGAACATAGCAATATCTGATCCTGAAAACACTTAAAATGGACTTTAATACTTTATTTCCACCATTGATTAGATAGGATCAGACACACTATTATATAGCAATAAAGTAAACAGTAAAAATGCTGTTGAAAGGAATTTTTCTGTCTGTGTTAACAAGTATGTGAAGTTGGAAATGCAGTACTTCATGTATGGAATTGGGATCCTAAAAAAAAAATGCACTGAAAACTATAAATAACAGTATGGATAGTTTGCACTGTTTACCATGGCTCACCATCTGTCATTTCYTTTTGCTTTTGAAAGGCAACAGGARCTCCRGCAAAAAGCCTATTAGAAGTAGGTATTTTCAGAATATTTTCCTGAAAAAGAACAACCACCAAAAACAATCCAAAACAGGGAAAAAACATAAATTATTGCCTGAAGTTATTAAGCATGCTTGTTTCTCAGGAGATTTTATATGTGAGTAAAGCCTGGGAAATGGCTGGCCATTTGGAATATAATGTTTCAAAATTATTTGATTTTCTCTGCCCTGAGAAAGTACAAGCAAAGGATGAAATGGTCCTGGGCTTCACAGCACGCTGATAAATCTTGTGATAATGATGCTAATAATTTATCAGGGAATCACAGAGCTGGCTGGGTTGGAAGGGACCTACAGGAATCATGGAGTCCAACTTGTGATGGGCAGCACCATCCCCAAGAATCACATCATGTCCTCAAGGCAGTAAATATTTGCACCATCAAAATTCCACAGTCAAATTCTGGAACAGATTTGGCAATGAACTCTTGCTCCTGCTCAGCTTCATCCYTGAAACCCTCACAGAGCCACCCATGGAAACGCCATTCCCAAAGCCCCGGCCCACCTGGGGTTAGCTTGTGACGGCTTTTTGTCATGATCCCCTTGTGTGCAGCCTCAAAGGAAAACGTGACTTCCTTCTGAAGGGATTTTTCCCCTTTTTCAACCTAAGAATGGTGGGTTTAACCCTGAGATTGCAGACCACCGGTTCTGGCCTGTGCGCTCTGAGGGCACATCCAGGCCGTGAGGCACCTCCGTGGCCACGGCACAGCAGGGCCCASAGCAGCAAATTCCCACTAAAACCCCGGGTGGTGCTGAAATATGAAGGTGAAAACACACACAGAGGCTCCTCTGCCAAGTGTGGGGTGAGGGAAGAGGGAAGGAAGAGGTAGGAAAAAGGTGAGACCCTGCTGCCAGGGTGCTGTGCCATTTTCCACAGCAGCTGTGATGGAGGGCCTTGATGGCCGCTCGTGAGGCCATGAGGGGACAGCACACACTGCGGTGGCAGCGGGGACAGATTCCCAGAGAGGACATGGACAAGGTGGAATCCTTCATCTGAGGGGC